GTTTGCAATTATTATATATACATATATATATATATATATATATATGTATGTATAAAGTTGTGCGTGGTTTTTCTTTTTCTTCTGTTTTTTTCTTTGTTTTTGTTTTTAGTGTATGATGCAGGTACTTTGATTTTGTTTGGGTCCGGGAACGTGAAGTAAAGATAGTTAGAACTTATGAGATTTATGGTTCTCCTGATCGTACAATTATATATATATATATATATATATATTACATATATGAAATGGGATAAGAAAAGATTAGCATGAATTGGTAAATTTTTGAGATAATATAAAATATATTGTGGATGATTAATATAGAAAGAGTTTTAAAGGTACGTCTGCGTATATGTATATATATATATATATATATGTATATAATATTAAATTCATATTTGATGGGTGCGTGATAAATATGTATATATACATACATAGATATATTTATTTTCTCACCCACTAAAATCAACATGATTGGGAGTTTCAGCCATGGCATCTCATGCATGCATGGGACACCAATAATATGTCTAATTATGACCCACAATATCATCTTCTAACCCCCTGCGTTTTCTAGAAACCACAAAGCACCACCTCTTTCTTTCTTTCTTTCTTTCTTGAGAGAGAATTTAATTGTCAAAAGAAAAAAAATATTTATTAATTAAAATGAGATAATAAATATTTCAGTTTCTGATGTTAAAACAGTATTTTATGTAACGATATATCGTAATAAATTTTAATGAACTGTTTTAGGTTTATTACTATTTTACATTGTATATAATATTATATATATATATATATGTAAGAATAAAGTTTCAGAAAAATAATAAATAATTTAACTTAATATTTTATATTTAATATAAATAATATTTAATTTATTTCTCAAATAAAGTGTGTAACGTTTACTATTTATTTTAAAATATAATAAGTCAGAACCTTTATTTAAAATATAAATTAATATGAGAACAAAACATTAAAATAACTAGAAATATATTCAAACCAAATATTTATATTTTTAAAAAAGTTAACATTAAACTAGCTTTTTTAAGAAAAA